TGCGGCTTATAGTCTGAAAAATACGTTAAGTGTTTTTAATAAATGATGTTACCTGGGCACAGCAGATGAAGACCACTGACAAAGTCAGGAGGAAGGCCGATGAAACAATAACATCCACTGAACGCTGAGGACCCCGTCTCTGCAAACACAAATAAAAACTTAAACTCTGCGGCGCTGCTAACATCAAACTATTTTTAACCGTCAGACGTACTTTGAGGTAGGAGCGTAGCGACAGCCACATCTTGATGTTCTGAACTTTCTTCAGCCTAAAATGTGGGACCTCAGACTTCCTGGCTCTGCGGGCTGAAGTGAGGTGACCGAACAGTTTGGCAAACAGCAGCCTCTGAAATCCAAACATGAACACAGTGAACACAGCTGCTCCATCAGCCCACGCCTGACAGCAGTGCTTCATTCTGTCACCTGTTTGTAGGTCCTCTCTGCCACGCTGAGCAGGAAGAAGAAGAGCCATATGAGGCAAACGCGCACCAGGAAGCTGAGCGTTACCATGGTGATTACCAAGGCGTCAGATCCAGACCCGGCTCCCAGCGCCACGGAAAGGATCTCGTTGACTGAGAGCGTGGTCAGCTGATCCGACTCGCTGTACTGGACCAGCCTGCAGGGGGTGAGAAAGATGAGTTTTATTTTATTTAGAGTGACAGTTTGGTTCTTATAGCTCTGTGAACAACCTGACTGAAGAAATAATTTATTTCTCATAGACTGATGAGCTAACAGCTAGTCTGAGTTAAGATTTAAACAAATCTAATCTTCAAAATTTAATAATAGTTCATGTAAACATGATTTTATCACCCTTTGCTTTATGTGTAAATCTTTGCTTTATGTAATAACAAGTTAAACTGACAGTGGTGTGCACTTTGATAAAATAATAAACAATAATGAGGTTTTAGAGATTAAATTAATCCACTTAGCARTTTAATATATGGATGCACCTCTAACAGGTAGTTTAACCTTTCTACCAAACCCCACTTCAAAAGATTTGAACTATTTAGATTTAGGGTTAATAATGAAGCTAAGAGTTTAAAAACAACTTGTTTTATTTTACTTGAGGAGGTTTTTCAGTTCTGATGAAAGGTCTTTGACTGGTTTACATCAGATGTTTGACACCTGTAATACCTGTAGACAAAGGGTGTGAGTCCAAGTGCCACTGAAACCAGGTTTCCAAACACCTGGTAGCCAATCCCAGGAGTGTACAGGTTCACCTGAACACAGAGCCACAAACGTGAGCGTTAATCGCTCCATTAAAGTTTCAACATGCACTGCAGTGATTTCTCACTCACCTTGTTCATGATCATCCCACTGATCTCCAGGACGGACATGTCGGCCTTCTTGCACTCGTTTCCCTCCCACACGATGGCGCTCACTCTCTCCAGGCCGGGGTTGGAGCTGTGCAGCCAGGGAACGTGACCCTGCAGCCAAGACAAACATGACAAACCCTGCTGCTGTTCTGGACTTACAATGACCCCAGGCCAGTTTTAAAACAGAGGCCTCTGGGGTCGTTTTGACCCAAAGGCAGCAGCAGGGTTAAGAGATAGTCTGGTGATTTTTGAAGTGATCAGGCTAAAGTTTTTCTCCTGGCTAAACGAAGACTAAATCTGCATAAAATCTAGTCAAAATATGTCACATTAGCTAATGTTACACTTTTGCACAGTTGGTGCAGACGTTTACTGAACTCCTGGCAGACATTCAGCACCTGTACACAGTCTATACAAAGTTTGCCAAAACAGCAAAAGCGTAGAAGTTTAAGGTCCGTGTACTTTTTGGTCATTTGATCTTTTTTTTTTAAAACAGATATTGAAAAACGTATGATGGATGGTTGTTCTGTTTTCATTATAAACTCAAAACGCTGTCCTGTGGAACCTGCAATGGCTTCAAGTTTCTCACCATTGACCTCTTGGAGAAAAAGCTAATGAGCTAAAAAGTAGCAGAAGCTATCAGCTGGTAAAAAATATCAAACTAGTTAGCTAACGTTTATATTTTGCAGCTGCCTGGTTAGCTAGTTATAAAATAAGGGTTTACTCATCCCCTTATCACACAATGGAGCTAGATAAATAATTGTTTTACAGAAATTAGCTAGTGTAGCTATAATAATAAAAAATACAGTCTGCAGTTAGTTAAATGCAAAAGTAGTTATCTAGCTTTATTTAAAGGCAGTTGCCTGTTATTAAATCATTATTTAACTAGTTACACTTTAAATGGTTACAACCGTTAAACTTCTTTGAGAAAAATAAAACAAGGGACTGTTTCCTGTTTCCAGAGTATGAAATTAAAATAAAAAACATCCATTTTTGTTTTTCATCATCTGTTTTTAAAATGAAAATGTCACTTCCTTTCACTCTGGTAAATAATCTCAGAAAGATACTTGAACATCTCTTCAAGAATGACCAGACTGTCCCTTTAAAATGAAAGGTGGTAGTTTTAGGTTTACAGACCTGATGGAAGGGGTCGTCTCTGTACTCCTTCTTAGCTGGAGGACACACAGACGTCCCTCCTGCTTCTCCCTCTGAGGAGCAGTGAGACAGCAGTGGTTTAAATATTGTAACCAGCAGATATCTGTCTCTGATCAAACCTCCGTCTCTCACCTGTCTCTGAGGTGCAGGACGATCTGCACTCTGCACAGTGCAGGAAGTCTTCCCACATCAAGTCCTCTGTCTCCGACTCGTGTCGAGTGCTCTCCGAGTCCTGAGTTCTCAGACTGGAACATCTGGAGCTGCAGCTGGTCCCAGATTTGGGGACATCCTGGACACGAGAGGAGTTTGTTTTTAAAGCCGTTTGCAGAGTCTATGTTTGAATTAAAGGTGTCGTTTACCTCCACAGTGTAGTGTTTCTTGTAATGGTGCGTACTCTTGCGGTTTCTGAGTGCGCAGTCGCTGTTCATTCTCTCCACTCCCCTGCGGAGGGCGCTGTAGGACGCTTCGGGGTCCTCCTCGCTCGACGCTTCGTCCGACGCCGGCTCCTTAAAAACMGAGACAGGTTTAGTGAATCCGGAGGTGACAGATGCAGGTGGATTCTCAGCACTGAGGCAATGAGCAGAGTTTGTGATGGATCACCTTGCTGCTGCTGGGCAGGAGCAGGCCTGAGCTGCGGGCCGGGTGAGCGTGTGTGGGCTGGACGTGTGGGCTCCAGCACATCTCATCAGCTCGGTTTAATAAATCACATCTCTGCTCGTGGAGCTGCAGACCCTCCTCGCTGCTGCGGTTGGTCACCCGGCCGTCCAGCGACACGTAACCGTTATCCGTCTCTGTCGACTTATCGATGGAAAGCTTGGACTTTTTAGATCTGCAGGGAGGAGGCGAGACCATTAGGGCGGTGAATAGAACCAGTCGGTCATTTTAGCCTTGGAAGCAGGCACGCCAACAAGCAGAATGCATTCAGATCAACACTGTGGAACATTCATGCAAAATGAAAGTAAAATGTGACATAAAGGCTTCACCTGAACATTACATCGATGATTTACTGTGAAAAATACTGCAGTACGCTCAGTACATTATCAATTTAAAGGTYTTAAATGTCCAAATAAGTAATAAATCACCAGGGTCTGCCAACCATAATGAATGGATGTCCCACACTGCTGCAGCTTGCTGAAAGCTGGTTCAAGTAAAAGCATGAGGAGAGATGGGAACTATTTATTTATCAGAACTAAAAACCTTTCCCACATGCTTCTTTAATGCAAAGCTTTAGTCAGCAAGTTAATCATAATTAGCTGCAAAATCCCCCAGCTGCTCATAAATAAGTCCGATTTGAAARTGCACGTTTCATTTGGAATCTACCTGGATCGATTCTAAAGGATTTTGCAGCTAAGAAGCAGAGGTCAGGTCTGAGGCGAGGCTGGCTCTTGTAGTTTCAGGTTTGGTATGAATGTACAGTTTGGACCGAGCGCAGCCTCGTCTCTCCACATCATCTCATCACAGGAAGACTGGAAATGAAAATACACACCCAGCTTTACAGATATCATGCCAGAAATCTTGGAAGAAAGCACCCAGGCTGTAGGAGGCGCAGGCTGAGTGAGAGTGTGGCGCCCCCTCCTGCGTGTTATCGGTAGTGCTAGACCCGTCGCCTTCCCTATGCACCTCCATCTGAGATGCCTTCCTCAACTTCCTTCAGTTTGGAAAGAACGGAGATCAAAGAGAGACTTGAAGTGAGCCTGGAGACCAAGAAGTCTCTGAACTACAGCTGTGTGTCCACCAGGTGCCTGACTGATAAACATCACAGCAACAACAGTTTCATGGAGACAAATTACAGGTTTGCTGTTTTAAAATCAGAATATTATAAAAACTGGCACCTGGGGGACACTGTTGCTGATACAAGAATAAAAAAAACCCAAAAATAAATCATTGGGCCTCATGCAAGAACCGTTCGTACGCACAGATGTGTTCTTAAGTTGTGCGTACGAGTGATTTAGGAGAATTTGTGGCAT